ATTGGCAAGCACGTACACAAACGAATGTTTACGCTTGCAGCGATATTAATGCACAGAATTCAGAGTGACGAGACAGTTTCATACTAATTGGTATGTGAAATACGAAAATTTCCAATGAACTTACACTAAACCATTTTCTAGTACGTTCTTCAACTCGTTCGTCAGGAGTACCAGCATATACTCCTCCAACCAGAGCTCCTATCGATGTGCCACCAACAATATCCACCGGAATTCCTCGCTCTCTCAAAGCTCGCAAAACTCCAACATGGGCAGCTCCTCTGTAAAACATCTTTTCAACACCTCAAAACATAAGGTTTGATATCACATGGTCAAGCAACATTATCTACGAATTTCAGTTAAGGAAATAAAGGCGGAAACAATAAAAAGGATAATTCTGTACAAAAAACTTTAATTAAACTTCATTCAGAAAATTAACTTATAAATAAGTAGATAGCAATGAACTACCGATTACCAACTTATACTCAGTTTCCTGCAGTTAAATAATGTGAAGAGAAGGAAGTACCTCGCTCCCCCGCCACCGAGTGCAAGACCGATCGCATTTCCAGTGAGTATACGAGCGATTCGAGCAAAATCTGATCGGAAATCGACAGTCCAGAACACATTCTTCTCATAGAATTCAACAATTTCTTGTTCATTAGTCTTAAAATTGAATAATTACAAAGTGAGTGATTAAAAAATCCAACTGAAAAGGCATTGTGAAGTTCAGCCCCTACCGGATGTATCATCTCCCTAGACGATTTCCGTGTCTTCTTCAACGTCCATTGGAACATTCGTTTTGGTGCTCGAATATGATGATGACCTGAATAGGTAACACTGAAGTCATGTTTGAAAATCAGAGTTTAATAACAAAAAAACAAGTTAATTTTTTTTCNAACACATTCTTCTCATAGAATTCAACAATTTCTTGTTCGTTGGTCTTAAAATCGAATAAATACAAGATGAATGATGAATGTATCCAAATGATAAGAAATTGTTAATATTTCTAACCGGATGTATCATCTCCCTCGACGATTTCCGTGTCTTCTTCAACGTCCATTGGAACATTCGTTTTGGTGCTCGAATATGATGATGACCTGAATAGGTAACACTGAAGACATGTTTGAAAATCAGAGTTTAATAACAAAAAAACAAGTTAATTTTTTTTCACAAGTTTTTCAAAAGTTAATTTTCCCTGCGACAGTCCAAAATGTACTCAGAACAGTGTTCTTTCAGAGCACATTTTCCCTATACTATAACCTACAGAGCTTCTCCTGAATATTGCTACCTCTTACTGACATAGCCACTCCTAAGGATGGTGAGACAGTTGACGTTTAAGAAAGACTAAAATGCGAGCAATAAGAAGTTTTTCTAGCCGAAATGCCTTTTTTGTGAAGGTATTCAGATTTTGTTTAAAGATGATTCCAGGGGGACATGAAATAGAATGATGTACCTGAATAGTACGTATCCTTCAGCCACTCATGAGTGCCAGTAGGGGTGGCGGTATGCTCAGGCCACAAAAGAATCAATTCTTTATTCGTGCGCACACCATCTTGGTTTGTACTTAACAGCTCGCGCATCTGAAACATGACTTCCGTATAGAAAAGTAAGGTTTCGTCGGAATCCTTCTTCATAGGAAAACTCACCAAAGTCTGACTTTGAGGTTTTCTGTTCCCCATAGCTACCACAAGGATGGCGTCAGCTTGTCGTAAACACCTGAACAGTGTAACTTATGTGAAAGTATAGAGGCGATTCTTATGACAAGTATTAATAGTTTCCAACATGCGTACAGTAAGGTTAATCTATTATTGATGCATCGCAGAAATAGGCAGTATAGAAGCATATTTCGAAACACATTTAAATTCTTCCATACCGAAATGTCGTACACAGTAACCGCTCTATTATAAAACGAAACCATTGTTTCATGATAGGTCTGCCAGTGCAAGCGGCATCTATCCTTTCAAAAATAGCAATAAAAGAGTCTGTTGGTCATATCAACCAAAATTATTGAAACTATTGCCCAAAAAGATGTCTGGTTACTCATTAATACCACCTGTCGACTCCAGGTTAGCGCATGACTCTAAAATTCTGCGACAAGTACTTGTAAATATTGTCTGGCAAACCTCCCTTCTAGATGGTTCTTGCAAATATTGCACTTTTATTCGTGGTCACTTGTAGGAAAGTCAGTATGGTGCTTCATTAGGGCCAATAATAGTGCGCAAGTCAGAGTGATAACGGAGGGCCGTGACCGTAGTAGCCATGATATACTTTCGGCATTACTGTAACTCGCGCATTGCGCCTGATGGTATACACCTACTGACGTTCCTACAGATTATCGTAAACAAACAGGTGTCCTACAGCAGTTATAGAAAGGGTAACATTGAAAAATTGACAACATCGATAGCCAAAGACGATGAGATGACTTTTCAGAACGTCCGTTAAACGCCAGTGAGAATTGCGCCTTCAAGCTGACGCGATTTTACTTGTTCTCTTCCTGCAGAGGGGACAAAGGGTTCATGCAGATGCTGAGCCACTTTATACCTCCGATCGGAGATTTCTGCGCGCTGCACGAACTATATAAAGTCGTACTGAAGACCATCTCGCTGCTATCTTAATTTGAAAATCACGGTAACCGTCGCTGCACTGCTTCAAAATAGGGTGTTCTTTTAATCCTTCGTTCTTTACTCTGTCAGGGATTCTCAACCCCACACACTACCCTGGATTTAGAACCTGAAGAGAGAAATACAGTGAGTGGATTACACCTATGAAGTAACCATTTCTCAGCATAAAAATGGATGGCGGCAGAAGAAAAACGAAAACATTCAAACCCCTCAGAATGTTCTACAAATTTTCTAGCCGGAATTCCGGCGATATTCCGTCACTCAAACATCAAAGCAATGCGGCAGCAATAATTAAAACAAATTATTGCTCATAACTACCTTCGCGTCCAGTTCGTAGCTGTGTAATCGCATTCGTAGATTACAAGTGGACAGGTGTCTTCCTGGATATTCAACCAATGCATCAGCCGAAAATCTGCCTGTCTACAAAGAAGAAATTCGCTCCCGAGTAAAACTTCTAACACAATTACACAAAATGCACAATACGTAAACATCAAACTTGGGTAAAACTGAAATGAAAAATAAAGCCACAACAGCGATACTTACAGTGTGAAGTCAGGGCTATGAAGGAATCTGCAGAAATAGAATTCAGAGATTTGTATAAATAGACTACTTTCCAATTAGGAGTGAACACTGGAAGGTACTAAAGGGCAAACAGTGAAAGAGTAGAGCTGGTGGAGATGAGAACGGAATAGATTTCAGAGTCAAATAAGGAAGGTCGCTCTTTATAGCCTTATTCGCTAACTCCACTCTCTCTATCATAATCCTCATCTGCTGCACATCAAGCAGTAGATTCTTATAATACTAAATTACATAGGCGCTATATGTATCATTATGGAAAAGAATATTTCGAAACCCATGAGACCAATACTGATCTTTCGAAGTGAAGTCAAAAGAAGGAACAGCAAATAGATCGATGAATGTTCACATCTAGTGGTGTTCATTTCTAAAGCACTTACTTTTCTAGAACAGAGTTGTCCAGATGTGAAGCGACTTTCTGACTGCTTAGCCTCACCACTTTCAGATTAGCAGATAGTGCGTGATAGAGTTCGCATGTGAAGGGGACCAGAGGTACCTCTGTCGACGCAGGAACGACAGCTATTGTGTGCAAATTCTAAGGAAAAAAATTCAGATCATAAATGCATGAGAAATCAAGGTCGAGAGAGGAATATAGCCGAATTAGGAAAAAAAANAAAAAAAAATTAAAGAAGACCTTGATGTGGCTCATTGGATCTCCTGTTCCTTCTAGCGACACTGTAGGCAGGTATGGCATACGCCGATGCATACTGCTATAGTACTGCCCGAGAAGTTGAACCAAACGGAAGCCAACCTTGAAAATTTTCAAAAATTATAGAAGCGCGTTAAATTACGAGGTCCTTCTCAATGAGTCATGCATACCTGAGGGAACTGAAGCTTTATGAAGTTGAGCAGTCCTTCTGGAATACGAGCCAGCTGTGAGAATCGAATGGCAAGCACCGTAGTGGCTCGGGGCTTCTTTTGCAGAACTTCCATCTAAAGGGAATTTTTGATTTCAGAACACTAATCGGGGAAGTTAAAAAGGTACTACGGTCCAGGCTGTGAAGGCAGGGAGAAGGCATCATCAAATCCCGTACCCCTTCTTTAGTGAAAAGGGGAACGACATGCTACTTTAACGTAAATGGCAAAAGGTGAACTTCTGTGGTAAGCTTCTCCATTCTCATGCCGACAGTTTGAAAAACTGCCTTAGTGATTCATTCGCTTGACATATCTTCCACTATGCAAATACCCCTAGCACTCCTTTGAACAATTGTTGTGAATCTGACTTTAGAAAACTTGCTTTGTCTAAACCTACCATGCCAAGCACATCGCCCCTTCCGAATTCTTCCACCAACGTTTTCTTTTCAACAGAACGCAGTCGCCCACTCAACATGACAAACATAGAATCTGCTACATCGCCTTCCCTAGAAGAAAAAACTCTAACTAAGGTAATTTACTGGATGAATCAGGCATGAACCCACGAGAAGGTTCAACAAATTAGCGCCGAGAATCATATTCAAAAACCCCGGAAACTCTTTACAATTCCTAATGATCCATACTTATGAATTCCCAACGCTTCCACAAGCTGCTCAAAAAAAAACCTGAGATTTCGGAAACTTTCTGAAACGGGATCGTAATATTGTTTAACCTAAGCTTCAACAAATTTCTTTCATGCAATAATGGTAGTGCAAATGAAATACGAACCTGTAGACAGCCAATCCCGAATCCACAAGCACCCAATCCAGTGCATAATCGACGCAACGTAAGAAGGGTGACAGTCGACGCAATACCGAGTGCGCTACTGGCAAATAGATGTGTGGACGTACTTCCAACAGGCTGAATTTGAAAAATTAGTGAAGACACAAGACAATTCTTTTTATTTCAGGACTGGTTACAGAAAAGCATTATGCCGCAGCTCGTTAACAGACTGCCGGCCTTACAACTGTTATTAGCCATACGATGGACATCACCTACCGTTGGAACACTGCCTTGCCAAGGATGGCTACTGTGGCCTTGCTATTAGCGCTTACGGTATAGAATGATGGTTCACAAGTGAGCACATGAAGACCTCCCACTAAATCTCGAGGCAGCAGTTTTGATATCGTATTATCAGTTTCTTCTTGGAGTTCTTCATCAAACACTGGTTCCTGTAACCAATAACACCACGATAAATACATCGATGTAGAAAAACAAACCCAAATCTATCATATGTAACACAATTGAACTAACCTGAGTCAGCTTCAGCGAGCCCGACAACACCAGGATCAGCTGTTCCTCTTCCGATCCCTGTTCAACCAACACATCTCCTTCCTCGCAAGTTCGAATGGTAATGTCGCCCTGAAAGTTATAGGTATTGAAGTTTTTGGGAACAGATAAGATATACTCAAAACACCACAACACCAACCTTCTGCTCTATCAGTGATGGTCCGTCAGGTCCTAACAGTCCTAGTGCGTCTGCAAACCATTTTCGAGCAACAACGAGTTGCTCATTCACATCTTAAAAAAATATTCAAAATAATCGAGAGGTATACATGGGTACGAGAGCCCCGTCTTTAGATCAAATACCGCTCTAGCAAGTAATGCTGTTACTTCGTAAACTTGGACAAATAGCAATAGCAACTGTAAAGAAATTCCCTTTCAAAGTGCGAAAGAAAAAAATCATTTCAAACGTCCTTGCGGAAATCCAGAAGAAGGTTCTTGGAAAAACGATGAACTTCTACCGTATATATTTCACAAAATCCGAGGATCACCAACAATTATTGGAAAAAGCCATATATTACAACTCATGAAAAGTTGTAGATGGCACCGCTACTTCTGCACACACTTTTTTCAGGTGCTCATCCTGCAGAAACGATATTCTGTTATAGCGCAATTACGAATAAACGAATACATGAATTAATATTCGATCATCCACCATAACAGTTTATTGGCAAATAANAATGTTTATAACATGTAACAATGGCTAGTTGATCTCAGAAAAAGCCAACATTCTCACAAGTTTTGGAAATTTTGCATAAATAAAACCTAAATTGTAAAAGATCTGGTCTACTTGGACGGAACGAAAACTATGAACTGATCGAATATAAAACTGCTATCATTGTCATCCTGACCTTTATATAGGAAGAGAATCTGTAAAAATCAGCAACACAACTTAACTCACCATCAGAAGTGCTCAAGCGCGGTTCCTTGGGCTTTTTATGTATGGCATGTGATGATGCTGTTCCAATTGGTGCTGCTCGCACGGGACCACTCGTCTGTCGCGTGCGATCTTCTGGTCCTGCAGTGTCACGTCGCTGTAAATAAAACAATGAAACGGTCTGTGGCAAGCAACAATAACGAACAACTACAGACCCGAATATTCGAGCCACGTCCAATAACATCCCTAATTGGGAATTAAAAGCCTACCTTATCAAGCTTCAATTACCGAGCCATAATCATTCGAATCACTCACCCTTTTCATCAGTTCATGAGTTAGACCCATATATTGATGTAATGTAGTCATTGTTACGTGAAGTAATCGTGTGAGAACGATCTGTATCGGCCTCATCCATGCCTCCGGATATTTGTTGTAGGATTCGCGAAAACTCTTTATTGGGAACCTTAATCAGCACGTTGTTCAAGCGATAATTATGAGAACTGAATTTTACCATAGAAATTTTATTAATTGATGACAGAAAAAGTTTGCAATCCACTCGTTGCGTTATTCAACCGAAAACAACGGTTTAAATTCATGATGTAGGAAAAACCTCTTCCCATTTTCTCACAGAAACCATCTTAATTCGAAATTTCGACAGGGTAGAAGGCAAATTACTGCTTTTCAGAATAACCTTTGTTTTTGCAAACCCAGAATAATTAGCCTCTCCTTGTTCGCCATTAATGTTTATGTCTTTCACAACGTATTTTACTCATAGCCTCAAAACTCACTTTGCAACAGTACATTTTTCGGTCGCTTTCAATGAGACAGTTTTGAAATACGACGGAGCATTCTGAAAAAAGGTTGCACAGACTATTAATTCAGGGTGCGAATGAAAAAAGCTGACGACACTATTTTTCATTGACTCTTTTTTCATGATCTGCGAAAGCAACTTTCCAAATCCTGCAATCTAGGCGAATCGGTTCAGAAATCTGGAAAGAAGCGCTCAACACGGATTATGCGGTCTTCAATTCTGAAAGCACCTGGCATTCTCGCTACAAGCGCTGTTGTCCCGAAAGCAAAAATGATGTTCTAGCCCGAATGGATTAGCTATTATGGTCAATGGGCTCATTGATATTGGGTTAAACATTATTTTATGANTTCGGAACCAATTAGGGACCAAAAATGCCGGTGCAAGGAGAAGTGAAGGAAATTCCAACCCAAATTTCCGGTCAGGATCGGGTCTCAGTGTTTGAATAGTGCAAGCTGTAAAAATTTGTATCGGAAAAATCATATTCAAACACACCATCAAGACATCAAGCATTGAAAGCAACGAGAAGAAGCTGTTTCCTGGCGGAATCTTCTTTACAAGATAATCTTTGCCCTCTTTATGCTGAAATACATATTTGATATAAGTACATATTCATAAAAACTATATATGTTTGTTCAAGTAGTCAAATAACATCCCCTCGCATGGGCTATACGAAACTGACGGCTGAAAATTGTGTACGAAAGACTTAGATGAAGGCAATATAAAGGGAGCAGTAGGGCTAATGCCAGATTGCTGCAAATGACGTGCGAAAAGAGCTTCATCTGAGAGGGGGTTAATCTGAAGCAACGACAAAGAAGGACTGAAATGGCCTGTGCCACATCTTCATCACTATATCTACATATATTATACTAACAGAGTGGGAGGATTGGTTCAGGAGGCTCAACTTGATAAAAAAAAATGCTAGGAGAGTCTAAGAAAATCGAAGTGCGATCCTTAGGAAAACTCAACAGGAAGGAGTTGAAAGAGGATGGAAAAAATGTTGAACGATTCAGGAAAAACCATAGAGAATGAGATTTGGATGGCTAGATGAAGAGCTGAACTTGGACAAGAGGAAACAAATCGAGATTAAAGATGAGGCTAAAATGGAAAAATATAGACATCTAATAACTGAGTAGACAGATATCACGAGCAGTAACCTAACCTAATTAGGCTCATTCTTTCAACTGTACCAAACATTGTTTTACAAACTTCTGACATCCAATAACGACAAGAAAAAAATAGAAGTGGTTACTAACCGCTATGTAAACGGCCAACGTCCCTTGAATGGCCACGTAAATGCTATCGTCAGGTTCTCCAGGACGTACAACCACTTCTCCTCGTTCAAAACTCCTCACATCAATGTCGCGTGGGTCCAATTTCCACTCAGCTGGCAGTTCCAACATTCTGATATAGTTTGTATATGTTTCATGTAACTTCAATTGAAATGTGGGACATAGTTCCTATAAAAACTTCCCAGAAATTGCTATGAAATCATTACTTGGCCACCTAGACTGCTTCTAATTTTCAAATCTCTACAAAGAACTGGCCATTCTAAGGCCTTTTAACTTCCAGTTATTACATCATAAAAAGAAGTGGAGTTCACAGTGAATAAAAGTAATACTTTACTACAGGATGACCGATAATAACATACTTCAAGTTATGAAGGATGTAGAATAGTTCCGGTTGGAGATGCTGTGGAATTTCGGGCAATTCATTTGGTTCGTAGAATTCTTGCGGTGGCCGAGGGAGCTTGTCACGCATCTCAGACGTCTGACGAAAGTAGCTACGGCTGCTCCGACGAATCAAACTAAAAGCCAGCACTTAAATGAAAGTTTCACAAACAATCAAAAACAAAAGGGTAGATACATTCGGATTAACAGGCTTTCCTTGAGAATCCCTACTCGACGCTCGATGCTTTTGAGAACAACAAGAGATGACGAATAAGCAGGAAGCACGAGCGAGTAATTGAAAGTTTAAGGGTAAATCAACAGACATGAAATGCGGTCGCTCACACGATACTACCTAACAATTTTCCTTTCCTTTACATCCCAGCGACAAATGTAGGAAGGGGAGCACTTGAGAGGAGAGCAGTTGAAAAGGAAGTGTTTCAGAAAATCATCGCTTTTTCAAAACCAGCCTACTTCTTTGAAGTCAGTTATAAATGTCTGTTGCGTCTGATCCTCCACTTTAATAGCCTTAAGCATCTTGCTAAGCAATCTCTAAAGTTTGATGATATACTCAAGAATGCTTGAAATAGAGTTCTGAGCTACGGAGCTGTTGAAACGCCGCTAACAAAAAAGGCCCATCGTACTTCAGCAGTTCCCATCTAGCTCATAACAGAAAAAAGCATCCATTACTTCGGAGCCTTTTGATATCCAACAAAATGATCTGAGGGGATCAGTCAAGAAAGATTCTTCATCCTTATAGTCCTCTATGACCCATATAGGAAAAAATTTCACTTTCAGTATTACGCCGATACACGGTCCTACATGCTATACTGATCAGCACCGGGATCCTGCTAAAGTAAGTGATACTGTATATCAAAAAGAAGGGAAGGAAAAGACAGATAGTTGTGTGAAATGAAGCTGCATTGGTGTAACTCATTCTCAACGGAACATTCTCGCACATAATTGGAGGATGACGAGGATAAACAAAAACAATGCAAGGCGCTCCACCCCTCTCTCCATTCAATATATTAGGCTGAGTAAAAAATTTTGATCGACCTTCGTCCCTTTTTTCGTAGGACCGCTCGGAAGGACTTCGTAATGGGTTATGGTAGACCGATCCCTAACCTGTATTTTTAAAAGGATATATAAGCATCTCCTTGGAAGTGCTTCGCAAAAATGACTTCAACCTTCAACTGG